ATATGATAAAGAGTAAATAGGAAACAATTTATCAATCTAACATGTTTCACTTTTCTTAAAGCTTCACAGAGAATGAAATATGGAGAAAAAGAAGAAATAAATTCTGGTATTTTTACTTTTATGTTAACTTTTTAAACCAAAATTAGTATAATTTGTGATTTTTCGAATTTAAGGAGAAATGACATGTCCATCCAAAGTTTCAAGGAACCTTGATTTTAATGCCACACTAATTATGAAAGAACAATTCTTCACAAAGTATGTACTTTCATAGTCTACTAATAACAATAATACCAACTATAAATTCTTGTCAAAATCATTATATTGCATCACCAAACTTTATTGAATCAACCTCTTAAAGAATATAATGTCTGTTTATCTAAAACAAATGGTATGTACATAAAACTTTCCAAATTAACATGGGAAAAACTAAAAATGTCTACTGGACATGTGCACACAATTATGAATAAACATTATCATCTGAATCACACATAAACAAGAATTATTATTCACTTACATATATAAAGCAGAGTCTGTCTATATTTCTGAGATGAGGTATTATGTACATTATTTACAATATTCGGACTATTGTCCTCATCTTTGTTGCCATATTTATCATAATGTTTCGGCCGTTGTATGCTCATGCCTTCTTCAGGTGATTGGAAACGTTGTGATAAATATGGCAACAAAGATGAGGACAATAGTCCGAATATTGTAAATAGCATATATAAAGCAATATTTAGTTTAATTAATTTCTTGAACTTTGGGATGGATGCATAATATCTCCTTGAATTTGGAACACCACAAATTATACTAATGTTGGTTTAAAGAGTCAAATGTATATGAAACATGATTAACCAATGAAAATCAAACAACACAAGAGTAAAAATACCAGAATTCCTTTCTCCTTTTTCTCCATATCTCATTCTTTGATGATGCTTTAATGAAAAGTAATACATATTAGATTGATAAACATTTCCTATTTGTTCTTTATCTTATTCTGTTAGATTCTGTTCTATATTTGATCTTAACTCATCAAATAAGTATATACAATAGGATAGATATCAAATCATATTAAATTTCAGATGACCATTGCTTATATGGAAGATATCTTAAAAGAGAAACAAGATATTGTAAAGATACTGAGTGATGGGAATGACAAAAGATGCTGGAAGAATGTTTGTTTCATTGTATCATACAAGAAAAGACCAAAGTACTATTGCCATGCTCTGTCGTTATAAGAGTCAGAGCAGACCAAGCATGGAGTATAGCTGCCATATTGGGGTTGATGCTGCCCAGCCCCCACATATTGCCTTGTGGGTGATGAATTATTCTCTACCCTGTAATTCTTTCATCCTTTCCAGCCTTTTACAACTATATAACTATTACTATGGGAGACAAGTTTGATTTCTTAGTGCCACCAGTTTTGACCTTCACTGTGAGGATTTGCCATGTCATATTCACAGTGGAAAACTATCCCCATTTCCTTCTAGTTTCTTGGACAAAAAGCAAGTTCCACTCAGATAGCTTCTTCTCTAGAACTGTCATTTTATGGAACAGACTCCCGAGAAAATGTTTCCCTGACAACTATAATCTCTTTAAGTCCAGAGTCAAACAATATCTCTCCTATTTGTCCTCATTATACGTTCTTAATTCCCACTTCCTTAAAACCATCTTACCCAATAACCCTCTACCTTGAGTGGTTATTGAGCCTTGTATTGGGGGAACTATTCAAGACAATACTTTTTCAATTTCTCTAAAACTGACTTTTACCTACCATACCCAAAAAGGTTTAAAAGATTTGGGGGTCAAGGAGCCCATATTAACATAAATGTATAAAATAATAATTTTTTTCAAGTATATGGCATATTGTGTTAATCAAAATATATGATTATGTGGTCTATGTCTTTTGGACGTTTTATAACTAAAAAGTTATGATGCACTTTAATAAAACCTGATAATTCCCACTTATGTTACTTGAACAAAACAGCAACACAACAACTTTCAACAGTTTAAATTTTGATTATAATACATAATACTTTATTTGAAAACTGGAAATATATACATATATCTGTGTGTGTGTGTGTGTGTGCGCATGTGTGTTTTTGAAAAGAAAGCAAGAATGCATAAAGTTATTTGACCTTGGGTCTAAGCCTTGCCTAAAATGTAATAAAAAAATAAATTTATCAGATGCTATCTTATTTAACCTCTTCCGCTCTTACCATTTTCTCAAACCCAACATCTCCAATCCAGAAGACGAAGAAGCAAAACTGTTTGTCAATATTCTCATCAGTTTGTTTCTCTACTTTCTGCCCTATCAGTTTTAAGAATAAACACCATTCTAACTCACCAGCACTCTCACCCCAAACTAATATCTTTCTCTGTAAAACAAATAACAAGAACAAACCTTCAACTTCAGATCTCAAACTCTGAAAATCCCCGCCAGTAATTCCTCCACCAAACCCTTTTTCTCCTTCACAAAATCTCCACGTTCATCTCTGCTAGAGAAACCTCAAGTTCAACAATGATGTGAGTAATCTCCTTATCTCCAATAATCCAATCAGAACACCATCAGCCAGAATTGCAAGGGAAAAAAATTTTGTGTTCACATATACAACAAAGTTAATTAACATAATTTTAGCTTATAGCATATATATATATATATATATATATATATATACAGATATATTTCTTCTGCTTTTGTTAAAAAGGATTCCAATCATCCCAATCTCACTGCCTCACTCACTATTACTTACATCTACCCTGTTCGCTACTGAACTTTTCACCAATTACCTGACCATGTTCTGTGACAGGAATGTTTCCTCCAAACCATTGTTTTTTTTTTTTTTTCCCCCTATCATTCAAAAGGGATAATTATTTTAAAATTTAATTTCATTTTCTTTTGTTACCTATAGTAAAATTATTTTAATAACTAGCTTTTCACTGTCTGCCTTTGTCTTTATTTTTCAAAAGAAGTGTCAATTTCTTTCTCTTCTTCTTCTTCTCTGTGTCATATCCCTTAAGGATGCTGGCAAATATGGCTTATTGAGGAAACATTTATTGGTTGGATTGAGAATGTATCAGCATCCTTTGTGTGTATGCGCACATATTTATATGTATATTTTCATAAATATATTGTGAACATGCTTTGTATTGCATAATGATAGATGGGTGTGTGTACACCTCATAAGGATCAATATCTCTTCAGTTCTGAGGTTAGCATTTTATCCGTTGGTCCACAGCAGTGCACCAAACATAGACTGCTTTGGTGAATTTATTCTTTACTGAGTGCTCCTCATTTATGACCTTGAACCAAAATAAAGATGAATAAATATACACTATTGACCAGAAGTTTGTTGCAGTCCACTGAATTTTAATTGTTTTCTTTTAATTTTAAAAATTTTTTATGGTCATTTATGTTGGCTTGAAAAAGGAGTATTCCTTTTTATACAGGAAATATATATATTCTTCTTATATCTGCCATGACCCTTCAGGATGTTGGTGATTATGGCTCTCCACAATTTCCCGTCCTTTGTAGCTCTTAATAAATTTTGTCTTTTTGTTATCTCTCCTAAATCTTGTTCTGCCAATCATTTATTTGTTAGGAAGATTATGTGTTATTTTCCACTGTCCCTATTGCCTTCAATCTGTCCTGTGAGTATCAAATTTCCCAAGCACTCTTTCCTCATTATGTGCCACAGAAAATTCAACTCACTCTTCTTGATGTTATAAATGGTACAAGTGTCCTTTTTGTTTCCATTTTCTCTAAAACTTTCTTGTTGCTCACATGTTCATTCCACGTCATTTTCAGCATCCTTCTGTAGAATCAAATTTCTTTTGCTTCAAGTCTCTTCTTCATCTTTGAGGGAACTGTTCAACATTCACCACCATAGAGGACTGATATTACATAACAGTTCAGTACTCTTTTCTTTGTTTTAATAAAATTTTCCAGTTTCTTGATACTTTACTTAGCTTTAATTATAATAAATAAAGACATATGCAAGTAACCTCGTAGAATCTGCAAGCTGAGTTCAGATTCTCATCCTATCTGTTGCATTCACTTACAAATGTCCTTGGGAAAGGCATGAAAAGATCTCTTCTTCGAGACATGAATTAAATAGCAGAGTAGATTGCATTCTCTAGCCTTCTCTCAGAGACAGTGACTGCCTAACGTTTTCTGGCACCCTGGGAAAGCTGAACTTTGGCATCCTTACAATATAATTTTTGAAAGTTTTCACAAAAAAACTGAAAATGTAGAATAATGTGTGTCATACAATATACAACATAATACAAACTAAAAGAAAACATTCATTGTCCTACCAAAAATATTTTTCTAGCCTTTAGATCTGCATATCTTTTCATGGCATTTTGTACAACTATCTTCTTAACAAGATTATTTTCTATTGACAAAATGGCCAAAGAATTTGTGTTGAGTTATGGATGACTGCAAGTATGTTTTTATAAGCTTTAGTTTACTAAAGCTTCTCTCGCCAGTGGCCACAGTAATGGGTATAGTAGGCATTATTCTCAATGAAACTCACAGATTTGTCATGGAATCCTGTAACTTAGCAATTAGTGTTTATGAATCTAATGACTTCTATTGGAAGCTTTACATGTTCAGGAAATAATTCTTTTGTAATATCCTGTTCAGTAGAGAGATCACATTTTGAAGATCCCAAACGCATGACATGGCGGCATGATGACACCCTTGGCCTTGATGGTTCCCTGGGTGACTGCCCAAATTGCTAGTACCTTGAGCTGGCCTTACTAGGCGAAGTACAACTCTGAATTTAGAGACTTGGTGAGGGCAATGGAAACTACTCTCCTGTCTTTCACCAGAATACATAACAATTTAGAGACAATGAATAAAATAAATCTGTAAATAGTCATGATTGCCTATATCATGAAGGGATATGGCATTTAAAGAAAGAAAAAATATAGTTAGATGCTGGAAGGTGTTTTCACTGTAATTTTAAGAATGTATCAATAAATAATTAGGCTTATGGCCACATGACATTGAAACACCAATTCCTGTAGGATCACTGAAGTTAAGCAATATTGAGCCTGGTCAGTAGCTAGATGGAAGACCACTTGGGAATAACTGGTGCTGTAAGCTTGGATGTACGGCTGGGGTATTGGATAATGGCTTGGAATTGTTAATCGATGAGCCAAGTTCTAATTCCTGTTGGGTTTGTTATATTTACATATGCACCAATACCCTCGGGAAAGGTATGAATCCATCTCTTTTCCTCCAGCTATGGGTTAATTAGAAAAACTTGTATCACTAAACCATTATTATCTTAAAAAATAAAAATGATTACAATCTAAAAATATTTTCTGGTAATAACCTGAAAAGGTCATAGAAAATAGAAACAAACAATAAATAAATAAAATTGTTGTCACTAGTTTAGTTGACTAGTTCACTTGTAGAAAATAGGGAAAATTTTTGGGGAAATAATTTTTGTTTAGTATTTATGAGACAACATTTGTCAGAATAAAAAAAATAATGATTTTTTTTTTTTTTACTATAGAAAGGTGGGTGTGGTTTATAATTCTGATAAAGTGTAAAGTTCGATTCTCTGACTTTTTACTTAGCTGTTCTGTATGTAAAAAACAGGCATTTTCTTTCACAATTTTTTTTTTATTTTCTAGATAAAGAACAAACAGATATATACATATTTTATTAAAGACCAAATGTATATATCTTTTTATTTTTTTTATTTAAGATGAATAATTATTACCCTCTAATATTTGTACATGTGCTAATGAAAAACAAAAAAAAAACATCCCCCATAAAACAGATTTTCAAAAAAGTTAAAAAAATAAAGTTTGAAAAAGAAAATTAAAAAAAAAATTTGCAGATAAGCAATGATGTAAGAACAGTTTCAAACTTGACATTTCTAAATAACAATTAAGTCCAATAACTCAGGTTTGATTTTATACTGTAGTTATTATAAATAGGACCCAACATCTAAATCAATAACAAATCAATGTTTTTTATTCTGGCAAATGTGGTTTGAAAAAGGTCTAATGAATACTAAAAAATTATCTGTCTATATTTCTGAGATGAGGTATTATGTACACTATTTACATTATTCGGACTATTCTCTTCATCTTTGTTGACATATTTATTACAAGGTTTCAGCCGGTGACATGATGGCACAGTGGATAAAGGCATTGGTTAGATCCAATGACAGGACCCAAAGAGTGTAAGTTCTATACCTGGTTAAGGCAGTGGAGAACTTGGAGAGGGGAATTAACAAGAGATAACTGATGACACATCCATTAAACATGGTACATGGAACTAGAACAGTCTACCCCAGTGAGCGAAATAAAGGGTTCAGTTCGACATTTCAACCACCTGAAGAAGGCCGGCGCATACAACAGTTGAAATGTTGTAATAAATATAACGACAAAGATGAGGACAATAGTTCAAATTATGTAAATAGTGCAAAAATTTATCACCCCAAATTTTCTCTATCTTTTTATGAGTGTACAAGTCTACTCAAGTAGTGCCAAATTGTCTATATCCATTCAAAAAGTTTATCTTCATTGTTACCAAAGAAAAATGTCAAATAACAAAGTTTACCTTTAAATTAAACGTAATCTTGCTTTTGTTGTTTGCATGTCTATATATGCTGTTTTCTTCAGAGAAAGCATACTGGAAATATCATCATAAAATAATTGCTCACAAATTAGTGTCAGAGACCATTAACCTTCCATTAGCACTGTAAGGCACTGTATTAGTAAAATGGCTTTTAAAACACTCTTAATTTTCTTGTTATATATTGTCTTCAGTGTTCTTTTATAGGATAATAAAAATGAAAAAAAATAACAAACAGTATTATTTTGAAAAAAGAAATGAATTAAAAGACCAATATTAGAAAAAAGAATTTGTAAATTTTGAAAATTCAAATATGCAAAACACATTTTTACTTTACTAAATCAAAATGCTTTTAATTCATGGAAATACTATGACTAAAACCAAAAACTATTTGTAGTTACTTGACAGAGCTAATCAGAATAGTAGCTGACTAATGATGAAATCTTGCTAAATACTGAAGTATATTTTTTAGGTGTATTCAAATACCCTATGGTACTAATGGAGAGTTAATACTGCTGTACAATCCTTACTTGGTGCATGATAATAATGGGTTTGTGTCATATTAGTTTCAGCTGAGTAAATGTCTAGAGGAAATTAAGAGAAACTATATATATATATATATATATATATATATATATATATTAAAAAGAAGAGAGAAACCACAAATGTTTTTGGTTGTAATGTGGATTTAAAATATATATATATATATTATGCTTTATTCTCCATAATTTTACAACACATGCTTATGTTTTTTTCGATTTTAACATTCTCGATGTTAAACATCCTCTTTTTTGTGTGGTAGTGATGCAAATGTCTTACTTGAACTGACAGTGAGAAAGTTTATATATAAAAAATAATTATAATTTAAGCTCTACTGTATGGAGCACTGTTTTTTAAAAATAAAAACAAAAATATGAAAGAACTCTGGATTATTTACCTAACGTGTTTCTTTCCTATTTTTTATATATATATATATATATATATATATATATATATATATATATATGTATGTAAACAGATAGACAGATTGAAAGACAGCGAGATGTAGAAAGTGGAGAGATGAAAATCTAAAAATACCAGTTAACTTTGATTCAATCTATATACCTTTTGTGATTAACATTCAATTCTAAATTATATTGCCAGAATTGTAGTTGTCTAATTTATATATATGTATACACACTACAGGAAAAAAATTGGAAAACACCCTGCATTTCTTTAAAAACAACGTTAAAATGAGATATTTTTGTATTTTTTTTTAAGTAAAAGATAAAACTTCAGTATCTACAGTGGATTTGCTTTTATTTTCACAAAGATCTAAGCACTTAACTATAAAAAATTTATCATGCAAAAGCATCATGCTTTGTTTTCATCAATAAATATATATGGGGGTCTCTCCCATCATTCTTCAATGCATGAGGGTTCAGCTGCTCAGTTCTTAGAAGTGGACTAGTAGACTACCCACACATATGAACTGATTATAGTGCTGAAGGCTTTTACAGAACTGACCACATTTTATGGCAGAGCAGTATACAGAGAATTTGTTCACAGCATGCCACAAGGTCCTCAAATGACCCTCCTCAGGTTTTGAACCTATTTGTTCTTCTAGACTGGTTGCCACCAATGCCAGATTTAGGGCAAATGATGCTCTGTGCTAGTTATGAGGCCTTATTATTTGGGCTCTGAAGTCTGGCATACCCACACAGGCATGGAAGGAAGATGAGGTCCCACTGGCCAGCTGGGCCCTGTGCTTAAGCACACCTATGCACAATGGTAATTCTAGCACTGGTTGCCACCCAAGGCTATAGGACCCAGTCTTTTCTGGTATTTAGCCATAGATGGGGTCGGGAGAGAAGAGATGGATTTATACCTTTGCAAAAGATATTAGAATGTAAGTAATGATCTTGATTGCATTTTGAACTCAATCTGAGCCGCTATCCACTACTCCACTATGCCTATATATATATATATATATATATATATATATATATGTATGTGTGTGTGTCAATTAATGGCTTACCCTGAAAAATATGGTGTGTTAAGCAAATAACACTGTAATGATCTTTGAGGAAAATGAATAATTTTTATTAATTTAACATATAAATAAAGTGTAACTTAACTCGAATTCCAACTTAGTCTGTTGTGTTCAATTCAGTCCTCATGTCTTTTAAAAAGGCACATATCCATCCTTTTTCACCAACATCTATGGGTTATGTACCAGAGTAGACTAAGCTCTCCAGACTTGGGTGGCAGTTAGTCCAGAGTAGTGGTTCTCAACCTTTTTTCCCTGTGGACCACTTTTATTCTGAATTTTTTTGTGAACCTCCATAAGCATTCAATGAAAAATAAAAAGCTTATTTTCTTTTCTACTAACAGATAAGTTGAGGAATTGTATTATAGAAATAGTAAATGTATATACCTTATTTTGAAGTAAAACTAATTTAATGAAAATAAACTTGAATTTAACAACTAAATTCTATGGAACTTTTATGTACACAAGTAAGATAACTCATAATAACCCATTTTAAAATATGTTATTAACCTCCAATTTGCTTTTTTTTCTGTGGATCCCAGTAATGTTACATGAACTGTGGTTGAGAATTTCTAGTCTAGAGGAAAGACTTCTCTGAAGTCAGCTGGAAACTCCTCTATTATTTTATCAAGCAAGTCACAGTAATCCACAGATATTAAAGTAAAGGAGTCTGTGGAGAGCCATGATTGTCAATATCTTAAATGGACATGTCATTTAATAATAACAATAGTAATAATAATAAAATACTATTTGAACTTAACATTTTAAGTATAGTTCAATTAAATTCTTGGCTTACAAAACAATGAGAAAGTTTACTGTAAAAAACTACTTTTCATTGGTATAGCTGCAGCAGATACTGACTATTTGACACTATGCGTACTGACTGAATTTAATCTTTCCCCAAATTTACTCTATATTTCATCAGTAAGTGTCATATCATTTTATCATTGCATGAGATTACTGTGAACAGAATTTTGTATATCAGAGATATAGATTTCAAAAGGCAAATAAGTTTAAGGAGTTTATTGCAAGATGTGTAAATTTGGTTTCACTAAAGTGCTGAATGATACAACTGAAACAAATAATTTGTTAAAATTAAAAAACAGAAATTTTTAATTTTGTATGAACTAAATGTTATAAGGTAAGCAATAAGTACTTTCTTCCTCATGTGGTACATACATACATACATACACATATATATATAAGTGAACATTGAAGTCAACACTCAGTGTCTGTCACCTCTGAATGTTGACTTCAATGTTCACTTTTATATTTACATATACTCTATCTCTGATATTGAGCACTTTATCCCTTAAATAAAGCACACCTTAAAACTATATATATATATATATATATCTTTTTTTCTCTACATATAATTTTCTTGAGTGAGCAGGCCGGTAGATAAAATAAAGATTGTTTATAATGAAGCATATACTTAAATATGGGTATGGTATCCATGAAAAATAACATTTAAAGTAATA